CCTCTTTCCTTACCAAAGATCCGGCAGGAGCAACTCAACTACCAAGGTACGGGTTACACCAGAAGTACTCCAATCTTTCCAGTGGTGGATATCCCAGGCCACTGCCAGGAGATGCGCCTTCAAGGAGCCAAACCATCTGAATCGTCTGACCATCACCATGGATACCGGTCTCTTCGGCTGGGGTGCCCACTTACACTCCCAGATGACACAGGGACAGTGGTCTCATGAAGATCTGAGGAACAACATCAACTGGCTAGAGCTCAGGGTAGCTCACTTAGCCCTCAGATGGTTTCAGGACACAATCTCTGGTCATAATGTGCTCATATTGACAGACAAAGTAGCCACCAAGGGACATATCAATCGCCAAGAGGGCACCCATTCCAGGTCCCTCATGCAAGAGGCTGAGCACTTGGGACTCCGGGCAGAACAACATCTCCTATCCCTGAGAGCAGAGGATATCTCAGGAACAGCCAATGTACAGGTGGACTGGCTCAACAGAACCACAGTTGACCACTCAGAGTGGCATCTGCATCCCGACCTGTTCAAGACACTGTCCGAATGGTTCTGGACCTGTTTGCCACCCCATCAAACAGCCAGCTACCTAGATTTTATAATAGGTTTGCAACACCGGGGAGGAGGGCTCAATGTACTCTGCATTCCGTGGCCCTGAGGGCTACTATACGCCTTTCCTCTGCTTCCCCTCATCCCAAGGATAATAAGAAAGGTACTGGCGGAAAGAGCAGGAATCCCGCTCCTGGCTCCCCACTGGCCCAGAAGGCCATGGTTTGCTGATCTGAGCAATCTGTCAGTGTCCAGGCCCTGGAGGATTCCTCCAGACAGAATTCCCTCAGTCAGGGAGCTCTAATTCACCCAGAACCACAATGGCTCAACTGACCATTTGGCATTTGAGCAGAGAGCTCTGAGGCTGGACAGCTTCTCCAGCAAAGTAATACAGACCATCCAGGCTTCTAGGAGGCCATCTACTAACCGGATTTATGACTCCACTTGGAAAGCCTTCTGTGGTTGGTGCTCCAAGGGTGCTATTGACCCCTTCTATGTATCGGGGCCCAGATCCTGAAATTCCTGCAGGAAGGACTGGACAAGGGCCTGTCACCCAATATGATACATAGGCAGGTGGCAGCTCTGTCCTCTGTATTATCATGCGGGGATCTGGAGTCTCTTGCTCAATACCCTATTGTGTGCAGCTTCATCAGAGGCGCAACTAATTTAAAATCTCCAGTGGCACACGGGTATCCCACCTGGAACCTACCCAAGGTCCTATAGGGTCTATCCTCTGCACCTTTTGAACTGTTCCAATCTGCCAACCTGTGCTTCCTCACTTGCAAGGTGGCCTTTTTTGTGGCCATCACTTTGACCAGATGAATTTCTGAACTGGCAGTCCTCTCTATAAGAGATGACCTGTGCGTATTACATTCTAACAGAATGAATCTGCAATTGGACCCTTCTTTCCTTCCCAAGGTTAATTCCTTGTTTCACAAGGCAAAGGAAATAATTTTGCCAGACTTCTGCCCCGGCTTGGTCCATGCCCTGGAGAAAAAAATGGCACACTTTAGATGTCAGGAGGGCTCTCCGGATCTATATTAAGAAAACAGCTTCTTTTAGAAAGACAGAATCCCTGTTTGCATTCTTTCAACCCTCTACATTGGGTAATAAGGTTACAGCATCGACAGTAGGCTCGGATACGGGCATGCATCACCGAAGCGTATGAGCTTCATGTTCTTCCATTACCTCGGCAAGTGACAGCTCACTTTACTAGAAGTGTGGCCATGACAGCATTCACAATGGGCCACTCAAGCTTACATTGATGAAATATAAAGAGCAGCAACATTGTCCTCTCCATCCCCATTTATAAGACATTATAAGCTGGATGCATTCGCTTCCACTAAAGCGGCCTTCACTAGACGTGTTCTCCAGAAGGTGTACGCAGACTCGGGGACTCAGGACCAGACCACTGTCTTCCTTTAGGACAAGTAGGCTTTGGTATGTCCCATTCTTTGGATTCTCTTCAGCACACTTGAGAAGATTTTACCTGACACACTCCTTCTCAATGTGCTGAGAGAGAATCCAACCAAACCCAAGCGACCGTCTGGTCCAGAGGAGTGGCCAAATCAGAACAAAACACGTCAAGTCAATCACTACACCTTCATCAAAACTGGGGATGCAGACAGGAGAGGCGTGTCCAGAAGATTGACAGACTCAGTCTAATGAGCAGCAGGCAGAATTAACCCATTCCTTGGATTTTCTCTCAGCACACTGAGAAGGAGCATGTCAGGTAAGACCAACGCCCCCTTTGTATGTTATAAAATAAAATAAAAGCTTATTACAAAAATAAATAAATAAATATAATGAAACTGGTCTGATATGCCCTCCGGGACCACAGATTACCTGAACCACTCATTTATTGGGTCAAAATGCTACACAAGAACACCAGCAGCCAAGTGCAATGCCTAGCTGGTCTCTCCAACAGATTCCCAGTGACTGTTGGGATACACCATGGCTCTGCACTGTCACCACTTTTGTTTATACTAGTCAGGGATACCATCACACATGACCTACAGCAGAATGCACCCTGGACTATATACCAGGGGTATCAAATTCAAGGCCTAAGGGCCTGATCCGGCCTGCGGGGGTGCTTAGATCTGGCCTGTGGGGCTGGCCTATAAATATCTAAAAGACTGGCTTGTGGTGCATCTGCTGGTTAAAATGGGCTGTATGCGCCCCCCGCTCATAACTCATTTTTGGCTTCCCCAGCCTCCAGCAGTACTCAGCTGGCAAAAACAGGCCGCATTGAAAATGGGCTGCACAGCAGAGTGCTGCAAGAGATCGTGGAGGGCAAAAATGAGGTGCGCTTGGGGCCCCCCTGTATGCTGTTTGGCCCAGTTAAGTGCTGCAGGAGGCCATTCAGGCTGAAAATGGAGCAGAAGTGCATGCCCCCCTGGACCCCGTTTCGGCCGGCAGGATGCTGTAGGAAGTGTCCGTCCTGTTTCTCCCCCCACCCCCTGCCAGCCCATGGAGGAGAACTACAGTGCTGATCTGGCCATCAAAGAAATCCAGTTTGACACCTCTACTCTATGCTGATGATGTTATGCTTGCTTCCACCACCAGAGGCAAACTACAGCAGCAAGTTCAAACATGGAGACATTGTCTCAACCATTTCGGACTCAGCCTCAACATCAAGAAAGCTGAGTACTTACAGACTGGAATGCTTCAAATAAGTGGAGAAAGCCTAAAGAAGGTGGACATTTTTAAGTATCTTGAGATCCCACCTCCGAGGCAATGACAACATCAGTGGCGAGGTGTAAGCAAAGGTGAATACAGCTGGATGCGTTGGCAAGAACTCACTGGTGTGTTATGACAGATGAATGCCAATCCATCTTAAATTTAAGATTTACAAGACAACCATCTGTCCTGTTGCACTGTATGGCACTGAATGCTGGGTAGCAACAACAGAGACCGAAAGCTATGTCCATGCCATGGAAATGCAAATGCTCCATTGGATATCAGGCATCTCCCTTCTTGACCACATCACAAATGACACCATTTGACAACATTTTGGTGTGGCACCATTTATAGAGAAGATGAGAGAAGGCCTCCTGGGCTGGCTTGGTGCGTAGGGAAGATGGGGTTTTGGGGTGCAAAGGAGAAAGGGGTGATCCCTCCTCCATCTGTCTATGCCACTACAAGGCCGCCATGGAGCTTCTGCCTGTCGAAGCAATAGCTTACCCAACCCACTTTCCAACGGCCTGTAGATACTGGTATGCGGTTAAATTGAATGGGTTTGCTTTGTTCTCACATTAATCATCCCCAAGGAAAGTAGGATCAGCAGGAAAATCCTCCTCACCCGCAGATCACTTTCTGAAAGTGTTTTCCTCACCCTGCCCGCCCATTGTGTAGGCAAGTCTGATCTTTCTCCCTCTCCTGCATTTCAAGCAAAATCAAACCGTGATGAATGAGGCAGCTTCAGTGGGCAGAAGCTCTGTGGTGGCCTTGCAGTGGTTACAGACAGGTAGAGGAGAGAGAGAAGATGAAAAAAAAAAAGCCATCCAAAAAGTCTTGAGCCCAAAAGAAAATAAGATCGGGTCTTAGTTTCAGGGAAGTGGGGGAGCTATGATTTGACTGAGCCAAATCTTATTTTCAAAAGATTATAAAAGAAATATTTTGTATATGTTGCCCTGTTTGACTTTGGAGGAGTGACTAGATACAAACATGACTGCTTTTAGTGAATAAATGTTTAAATAGTGATATAAACACATTTATTTGATTAGTGGAAACTAGAGTAATCTAGAAACTCTTTTTTAGTAAGTCTATTTACTTTATGCTAAATGTAGACATGGGAAGGAGCTGTCCAAATCAGTGCTGATCATTTCTCATATGCTTCATAATGGGAACTTCTGGATTTTTTTGCTATGACATCCAGAGTGTACAGTTCAGTGCAGCATTACTCATGACTACTTGTTTGTTTTTCCTGTTGCATCAAAATTATATTCAATGAAATCTGTTTTTGTCTTGCTTATGATTTTTTCATTAAATGTGTCTTTTTAAAAAATCTTCTGAAATAAACTCCACTCTATGCAAAATTGACTTGTTTAATTAGGGAGAAGGCAACAAGTATTTTTATTAGTGACTAGAAATCATTTATCGACTTTTTGCTGGCAATAGAAAAAATGATCTGTTGATTTATGGATTCGATGTTTAGAAAAGTGAAATATGGGAAGAATGGGATTATGACATAATCTTAAAAAGGGAGGGTTGACATTGAATTTATTTATCTGCTTTAAAGAAAATCAAGCTGATCTTTTATATAAATTCTTTATTATTTTTCTTTTCTTTCCTCCATTTACTTTTTTAACATCCACTTGCACTTTTTCTTTTCTTTAAATTTATATTGTGTGTTTCATTTTATTATTGTATAATATGTCCTAATAAACATATTTTTAAAAATGACAACTCCATTGAACCTATTTTATTTTATTTTCTAGGAAGAAGGCAATATTAAAGAGATTGCAATAACATATCATGTCAAAGAAGGGCATGAAAAAGCAGATGCTTCACACTTTGAACTCCTTAAAGTACTAGGCCAGGGATCTTTTGGAAAGGTAAGACAGCCTTTGGATATGTAAAAGCTATCATAGTATTTGCGGCAGCCTGTACTAATCAGAATTCCCTAAATGAATATCTAGTTTTTAAATTCCACCTATCAAATCTTTCTACAGGTTCTTTAATTGTTTCTTAGTTTTCTGTCCAAGCTCAGATTTGAATAACTAAGAATGATTGTTCACAAATTATGAATGGAGAAAAATATAAGTACTTCCTCACAATTTTCCATGGTTGAATTAATATAAAAACTTGTTTCATTAATAAAACTCTGCAATACTTTGGATTTGATTTGATTTGATTTTTGATTTTATTAACATTTGTAGGCCGCCCTTTTCCCTGAGGGGACTCAGGGC